TTTGTATTTTAAATTTATATGGTTAGACCGTTGAGATAACCAAATATTATTTTTAATTATGTATTATTAATTTTGCGCTTAACATTGAGAATGATCTTATTTGGATCGAAACGTCTGTTTACTATATTTTAATTAAAGAGTTATATTTACTTGGAGCACATAACACCCTGCTTTGGCTTATAGCCCTTTATTTCTTATTAAAAAAGTATAAGCCAAGTTTAATTTAATGCATATCTGAAATTTTGTTTTCCCTTAAACTTATTGTTAGATGTCAATTACATATAATTACATTAGTTGTCATTATGGCATCTCTATTTTTTGTTACATGATCTACTTTAGTTTGCCACTTCTGGAATTACAGCGTGACGCTGCTGAAAACCGCTCTTAATTCTCTATCTAAGAAAAGAATTTAATTTTCCTTGTCTTTCAAAATAGAGTAACTTTTCGATCAATTACATACTAGATTTATTGTGTGTAAATATACTAACTGTTCGCATCTTCTTTGTCGAGCGCCGGTGTGCACATTCCGTTTTTTCTAAGGATGTCGATCAGATCATATCGAAAACTCGAAATGTCCTGGCGAATTTCCCTGACGTCGTCCTCCGTAATACCAAATTCATCTCGTTTCCTTTGTTCAGCTGTTACGTAACGACGTATAAGTAGACGCAATATGGTATCATGTCTGTTCAAAGCTTTTTCTCGAGATTTTTTCTGAAATCAAATCGAATGATTTATTTCTATAAGTAACTGTTATTAACATAATTAAATCGAAAGTATCTTTAACATCCAAATCTTGCTGCCTAATAATATTTTCATAATGTAAGCTCTAAATTACTATTATTAATACTAAAATGCGTTAAGAGATTTAAATCATATCCAGATCAATAATAACAGACAATACATAACACGCGCATTTATTTAATAGATTTAAAATATTTTAAAATATATTGAAAATATTTATTTGAGTGTTTATTCTAAAATAATAATGCTTTCTTTAGACGTGCAAAGTTCCTAATGATAGAATGTGGCTGTAGATTAAAATGTGACTTAATTGCTGTTATCAGATTATGTTCCCAAATTATTAAAATTAGATTTAAGTGCTTCTACATTTTAATTTCAAAACAACTTTCACTTAACAAAAATGTTAAGCAACGTCATTATTTATATTGTCACATTTTACAAATTTTAACAACATACATTAGCTTAACTTAATTTTAAAAATAATAAATAACATTATTAACATTAATTTATTAATATTATAAACTGGAATTGTATAATATTCGTTACCTACATTTGTTACATTTTATTTATCACTATCATTTTCTAGTATTTTAATACTGTATGTTTTTACAAATAAATTTTAAAATAAAATAAAGTCTTTAAAATTTATTTGAAAAAATACATTTTTGTTATTTAAATTTAGATAATAAAACATAGTTTGTCAAAAGCTTATTTACAATCGTCAAATACAAAATTATACACAAAAATCACAATATTAAATAGAATAGGGCTCATAGATTTGGCTGAAAAATATTCCTGTTAATGTTAATTAAATGGAATTAATGAAAAAACATCTCTGTAATTTTGATACACCTCAGATATATAAAAATTATTTACTATAAAGGATCTTGTAGAACGATTGCTGCCTCCACATTTAAATAGTTTTTGAAAAGTTTTATTCGTTGGAATCATATTAAATGGCGGTGGTACAGTATCGCCATCTTCGAAATAACTCATCCATAAATGGCTCCTGGCAAATTTCCATTCTGTATCAGATCTTTCCTAAAAATATACAATATATCAGTACAGTAATGTATTAACGCGATATTAAATGCAATTTCAAACGATTTAACAAGAAAATAATGTAAAAATTGAATAATTATGTTATCAAAAATTATATTATAAAAATTCATAAATGGAGGACAAAAGATTTGTATGGTTTATATTTTATCTTCAAATTAAAGACAAAATTTGCAGATTTATTTAGAAATGGAAAAATAAAAAAAAATATCACAGTCTTAGATGTTATGTATTATTATATTTGAGATATAGAAAATTAATTAATAACACACAACTGATCAGGAAATGCGGTAGCGGCTCCCGTCAAATATATTTTTTCGCTATATGACGATCATTAAAAATACAAGAATTTTCTGTCACTAGATAGGCTCAAAAATTTTGAATGTTTCGCATCAACTCCAGCTTCTGAGGAAGCAATTCACTCTTTTTTGGACCAATTTTCTTCAAAACATTTTATTGTACAGATTAAATTTAAAATAGATCAAAATTAGAAAAATATTGTTATAAAATATTACAACAACATAAAGTTATTTTAGTTGTACGTAAATAATGGAAAAATTAAATTAATTTTTGCATTACTTACGTTATTTCGTAATTTTTTAATTTTTAATCTGTAGAGCAAAGTAGCCTAAGAAAAACTAAATAAAAAAGTAGTTTCCTTAGAAGTCACGAAATCGTGGTAAATCTCGAAACTTGTTTCAATTCCAGAAAATTCCTATATTTCTGATAAATTTTGTATTACAAATTTATTTTCTCATATGCAAAATATAAAAAACGAAAATTTATTTGAATATGACCTGAGAATATATCCATTTATTCCTTTCTCTGAAATAAATTCACAAATTTCCCCTTTAATTTGACCATACAAATCTCTTATTCCTCTCTTAAATAATTTTTATTTGTTAATATAAATTCTCTATAATATCTTGGAAAATTAATTGATTCTACCGAAATGATTTGATAAGAATTAGACATCATAGCGATCAACATGTTTAACAGCACAATGACGTTTATCACGGAATAAGAACCGAACATGAGGAGCGCCCAGAATCGCGTGAAGCTTTTAATGCCCGTCAGATCAAACGACATTAAATCGACCATACCAAAACTTGCCCAAAAGAGAGATTGCGATGTCTCGAACAAGCTGAAAGCACGAATCAGATTTTAAAATTTATTGCCTACGAAATTATATATTTTCGGCTTTCATACTTAGCGAATCTTCTCCATATAGAGCAGGCTTTCTCCTGATTATCGAAATCCGGCAACTCGTCAGACGCGTGATAACATTTTCTTTTCTCTAAATCCGCATAATACCACATCAATTGATTCATACCTATAACAGAACAGCAAATTTAAAACACAACATTGTCCTACTTTCTACGTTTATTCCGCTTTGCATCAATTGCGTTGAATCAAGGGAATTATTCAGTTTTGTCTGGGAAGTAAAAGTGGAATGATTTTCCGATTAGTACATATGAGACTCACGAACGAACAACGAAACTCCGGCGAATGAATAAGTAATCTGGAGGCGTGTTACTTACCGCAGCCGAAGGCAAATAGCACGAGGGTATAGATAAAAAAGAACTTGATAATGTCTATTATCATCCTCCCGAGGGAAATCTGGAGCGGCCCGAGATGAGGATTTACGCTGAATATATGAACAAGTTTTAAAAAACTGAAACACATTCATGCGTATGACGTGTGTATTACATATTAGTCAATAAGAAGACAGTTCCTGAATGTTCACTGAAATTACCTAAATATCATTCCGGCTGCGAACGCTCCCTCTGAAAGCAGCATTGGATCGAACGCGTGCCATTGATCTCTTGGATACCAAGGATCTAAACCACTCCAATATTCTCTCTGTAAAACAATGCAGTTAAACTAAAAATTAAAGAAAAGAAAATAAATCTTATAAAAGTAAAAATGTACGTAAAATGAAAAATATTTAAAAATATATGCATCATTAAATGAAAAATTAACTACTGAAAAATTGAAATTAATCTAATTAGACAAGTATTATTATTTTTTTAAGACAAATCTAAATCTAAGAAAACATACTTTTAAAGATACTATTACATAGAAGATACTAATATATGTTTAATTAGTAGAATTTTATTTTATTTTTCTAAGACTATATTGTGATCTCGCGCAAATTCTAATTGTAAGTTATATAAAATGGTCTTAAAATCAAAACACCTGTACTATCCACCAAGCCGTAATTCGCATACTTATCCAGATTACGTAAAATGTATTTTGAACAAAATCTACAATATTCCATAAATCCGATATATATTCGAATAGTCCATCTGCCCATAAAGATTTAATTTCGCCGATGATTAAACCTACAAATACATTTTGTTAAAAATAAAAAGAAGTAATTTGCCAAAAGTAAATAAATATGGAAAGAACACCAATTTCGGGCTGAGACTAGTTATTAGTGCCCAATAATATTTTTAAATTTCAATTACCTAACTGCGTAACAAATACTATATCAATCTTTAAAACGCAATCATCATCCTAAAGCTGAAATAATATCACAAATTAGATTGATCTTCAATTTGATTCAATTTGATGATAGTGCTACAAACATCTTAAACTCTGTAAAAACAATATTACGAAAAATATTACTTCAGCTACGTTTTAAACCTGGAACCTCCCGATTCTAAAAATATTATTGGGAATCAATATCTAGCTTCGATTAAAATTGGTAATGTTCCCATATTTGTTGTATACACATAGTGATCTTAATATTAAATAGCCAAGAATTAATAATTTATAATATTTTTAGCAATTTATGAAAGCCATTGTAAAAATTTCTTTATTATTAGGCTAAAATCAATTATTTGTGTATAAATTTTAATTTAAATATAAATAAGAACAATTTTTATATATAAAATATTTACTAATTAAAATATTTAAATAGCTGAATAATAGATTTAAAATTCGTATAAAAATATTATTAGGCACCAATATCCAGCCTCGACTGTGAAAGGCGCTCTTAAATTTATTAAAATATTTTTCTATAAATTAAATTAATAATAGATATTATTTACAATTGTTATAAATCGGATGTTTATTGGATTAACAGCTACTGTTGATTTATCAACAAAAATCAATATGTAATTATGTATTAAATATTTGCAATATACTTTTTAATTGTTTTTTTATATTAATTAATTCATTTTATTATTGCGTAAAAGTATTGAAAGATAAAAAAGATATAAAATAAATATGTAATTATGTATTAAATATTTGCAATATACTTTTTAATTGTTTTTTTATATTAATTAATTCATTTTATTATTGCGTAAAAGTATTAAAAGAAAAAGAAAGAGAAAAAATTATAAGATAATTTAAAAATTAGTATTTTACATTTATTTTAAATTTTATGGCTAAAGTAAAATATAGAATTTTATTCTATAAACTCTTGCTCTATAGATTCATTATCATCTATTGATTTATTTTACGCGCGCGCGTGCGTGCGTGCGTGCGTGCGTGCGTGCGTGCGTGCGTGCGTGCGTGCGTGCGTGCGTGCGTGCGTGCGTGCGTGCGTGCGTGCGTGCGTGCGTGCGTGCGTGCGTGCGTGCGTGCGTGTGTTTTATATGCGCAAAAGAAATATTATGTGTTTTTGAAATGCAAAATAATAAAATTAATTAATTAATAATTATAACATATAATTTAAAAGAAATATATAATTGCATTTAAAAAGTATGTCATAAATATTTAAATATGAAAGAAATTTATATAATTGTATTGCGTGTGGGTGTGTATTTTTTAAGAAATCGAATTGTTTTCCTAAAATTTCTTTCATATACTATGAAAATATTACCATTACGTTACATCCTTTTCAAAACCATAAAATTTTATACTTTAAATTTTTTTCTATTATTTAAGAAGGTAAAGATATTAATAATAAGATGCTGAAGTTGTATAATAATTTTTTAAATAGTATTTTATTAATATCTTTTTTATTTAAAATTGAAAAACTTTAAATAATTAATTATTCTTAATATTACGATTTATATAAATGCATTACTTATCACATAGATAACCACGCCTGTCTCGACAAAACCCGGGATGCAACCGCGTTCATGTTTTTTCCAGCCAGCAAGTATCTTTCGCATCCACTCATTACCAAACAATTCGATTAATAGATATTCGACTCTTTGTGATGCCATACCGAGTAGCACTTAAAAAAGAAATACTTCAAAAATATTTCAAATTATAAAATAATATAAAAGGACATGTAAATTAAATAAGGACGTGTCTTACTTAGAAAAAAAGCATACGATGCAGAATGACATATAAACTTGACAAACGGCTTTTTCATAAACAATCCCATTTGCGAAGTGGGGGCTATCATATAAATAGTACTGTAAACCGGAAACATTGCTCCAAGTTTGGCAACTTCCATCAATTGCGCTATCATATTTTTCCTTCTAAATCCTGGAAGACCGTCGTACCAGATAGCAGCCAATAACTGTTGCACGTTTGGATGAGCGACAAACTTCAACAAAAAAGAAATTCATTAAGTATTATAATAAAATAATATAATTAATAAATGTTACACAAAGAAAATTAAAATTGTATCAACTTTTACTAATATTATTTAATTAGGTAAATTAAATAATATTAATAAAAGTTAATAAATGCGTAAAAATTATTTGCGATATAAATACGCATGCACGTACGCACACTTGTATAATAAAACAAAATTTATTTCTATATAAAAAAATGTTTTTATAAAAATATATAATTACAAACAACAAATTAATTTGACTTCTCTAAAGTAAAAAAAATATCTTTTTAAACGTTTTTCATATTTTACAAACTTCTAACATCATTAAATTACAACAAATATAATAGCCTAAGATTATCGAATCTTATGCTTTTGGGTTTTTTCAGAATATTTAACTATTGATTCAGAATATTAACTCAGATTATTTAACACTTGTATTATAGTTAAGCTGCACATAAAATTTTATTGCTATACAAATATAGCTTTATCGTGAAACGCGCTTTATTGGTATTAACAACGCAATTGCAGTCTGCTATTTGCCTATTTCACTATGTAGTTCATCACATCTGTATAAAAAAATATCTGATTAAATTATAATATTTTGATTTATTTGCATGCAGAAAATAAACAAAATAATGTGATATAAAAATGAACATTTTTTAAAAATAAAATGAAATAAAATAAAGTCACTATTTAGATAGCCAAACCTGCAAAACAGAATATCCTATCAATTTTGGCAGAAAGCAATTTTCACACAGAATCTATAATGTCTAACGATGTCAGTAACTGTCGTCAGAAATATAACAAAGTGTGTTGACATGTTATACCAACAATATGGCAGCAGAAACTGAGCAGTTGTAGTCGGCGTTAGAAACAAAAGAGTTAAAGAAATTAAGTTACAATCACATAGATAGGTATATTGTTCTGTATTAATGTTGAGATACGTTAATTAGAATATTTATAGTAATTACAAATAATTCAGAAATAAACAGTAGACGAACTAATACTAATAAAACAAAGCCAGATATCGAAGTCAAAACTCTTTCATGTTTATATTTGATTTGAATCAGAATAAACCTTATGCCAAGGGACATTGAATTTTTTATAAAAGAGATTATACTATAAATACTTTATAAAATTATGGTTCTATGTATTTAAAAAAAATTAAATTGACCTTAAGGGGAAACACCACTGTGACGGCCAAAAAAAAGGCTATTTTCATGAATTTTTTTTTGTAATAATTAATAAGTTGTATGAATTATTATTTTTATATATTTAAAATACATATATTTAAGATTTTATTTAAAAAATCATAAACTAATGTTAATATTTGTGGCCTCCATCTTCGATGACGTAAATCTTTATTGGAAAAACATGGGTGCAAGGGCGCCCGAATGCGTCTGAACAGGATGTCTAAAATCAAACATTCTTTTTTCATTTTAAAGTATGTAAGTGTAGTTTCAGTTAAGCGTACGGATTTTTTTAAAAATAATTTTTAACAAAATAGCACTCTTTTAAAAAAATAGTTCGCTATTTTGCGAAAAAAATCATTACTTTTTAAAATTATTTTTCCAAAAATAATAATCCGATTGAAAAAATCGTACGCTTAACTGAAGACAATTTTGTTGTAAACATTCTGTCCAAAAATCAAGTCGGATAAAAATTGGCCGAGATGTGCGAGCGCCCAGCTATGAAAACATGGTTTCGAGAAAAACGCGTTTAAAGTTTTACGCGGCCGGGCGTATATATCTGAACATGTACTATTTTATTACATATTTACTATAGTTCCATTGTGAATTTCAACATAATATTTTAGGGACATATTTTTAAGACCTCAAGCAAAAGTGCAAAAAAAATCTGTTTTTTGAACCCGTCACAGTGGTGTTCTTCCTTAAAGTGAAATTGAGAGTAACATTGAATCTATGATCTAAGATCAAATTTGTAAAATTAATGTATCTTTTTTTTATGCTGTTATATTTAATCCTGAAAGATAAAAATTCATTATTTCAATTACAATTAGTCTCGCCATATTCGAGCATATTAAATAAAATAAAATACCTTGCATATCAGTGCAAAGAATTTTCAGGGGAATTTTCTAATGCAAAGATTAGAATGAGGTTTTTTATCTGTTTATAAATTTAGTATATACGCTCTCTGTAGATAAACGTTATTTTTCAAAGCGTACCTATATACATATACGTTCTATGCAGTTAAAGGATTAAAAACTGAAAAGTAATAAAGAATCATGTATTATTTTCTATTATTCTATATGTTCTCTACTTCTTTATTACTTACTGCACAAGAACTTGAATAACGTTAATACAATGTATTATACAATCTAATTAATAACTGCTAGTTATGTCAGACAACCAGCTAAATTGTATATTATCTTATAAAAAGTATAAAAATTGATAAGTTAAAAATTACATCATCAATATGTTCATCAAAATAATTAAGATTTTATTAAATTTAAGTTATTATTTTATAAAATACATATAATAAATATATAATTTGAATACAAAAATTAAATCGAAAATTAATTTGGATAAAAACAATATAATAGTTATATTTTAATTAAAATTTAGGAATTTTTTATACTAGAAACTCTCTGATAGGGTATATCCATCTCTTTCTTTGTACGGCCCTCTGCTGCACATATACATATATACACATAATTAAATAAAATTGAATATTGAGGACGCACGTGTATACACATGCATGCGCACATACAAACAACATACATATATGTATATGTATAAGTATGTATGTATGTATGTATGTATGTACATATGTACGTATGTACGTATGTATGTGCCATACTTTTTTCACTATTTTGTTCACTTTTTTTACTATCATTATCATCATTAATATTAGTAGTTTCTTTTACATTTTTATATTTAAAATAATGATATAGAAATAACATATAAACACGTAAAACGTATTATTATATATACATATATTATAATGCATACTTGTTTCTGCTTATATTTAATAGCTAGTTTGAGTCGATCCAATGTCTGTCTCTCCCCAGGATCCCAATTCTCGCCGGTAGGGTTGTAGTTTAACATTATTTCCAGTTCGTAAGACGTGCGCGCGTGATCTAGCAAAGCGGTTGCAAATTGCTGCGTTTGTTCCCGCATCTCCTGGATCAATGTAGAATTATTTTTAAGAAAAATCGGAATATGCAGTGTACATACGTGTATTTGAAAGAACATAATACTAGATTAAACTTGTTGAATTTGATCATTCTTAATTTAACATTTCTCTCTGGAAGAATTAATTCATGAACGGAGTATACAATATATATGATTTTAGTAAAAATATGCAAGTAGAAATTTTATTTATTATCCAATTTTATTTGTCTTTTTTATTTTGTTGTTTTCATTTAATATCTTATTTTATTGGTTATTTTTATTGTTATTACCATTAATAACACTTATTCTATTTTTATTTTGTTTTGTGTTGTTGTCATTTAATAATTTATAAGGTTTTATTATTGTTATTAAAGAGCTTAGTAATTTTATTAATATGAACATTAGCAATAAATTTACTTTCAATAAACTTCAACAATGCTATATTGAACAACATTTCAATTTAATCTGAACATTTTAAACTTTTTCTGTAAACAAAGTAAAGTAAACAATAATTTCAAACAAAATCGATGTATAACAACAAATAACGAAGGAAAAAGGATCAATTACGGCCAAAGCTAGATGACGATTGCCTAATAATAGTCTTAATTTTTAAATCTTTTTACATTTCAGCTATCATAAATTGCGCGCCGATTACTGTCCGCCTCGAAGAACACAACTATAACTTAAAGCTGAAATAATATCACATCTATTAAATTGATTTTCATTCGATGATGAAGCTACAAATATTTTAAAACACTGTAAAGAAAAGATATAATAATTATTATAGTATCACAAGAAAGTGAATGTAATTTTATACGTTAGCGTGAGTGAAACAAAAATTTATACAAATATTTAGAATTATTTTTATGGCTGAATTTGCCATTGAAATTGCGACATATTAAAGCCACAGTATAACCAGTAGGTACACTTCGCGAAAAACTGAGTCTTCGCGCAGGTATCGCCGCGCAACTTTTGTTTTGGGTTGGATCCAATGAAATGCAAGACGATAGGAACGTATATACACGTAATGCGTAGACAATTTACAAGCAATTACATCAAAAAATTTTTTTAGTGATCATTCCTACGAATAATTTTTACTAATAAAACGTTTTATTTGATTCACACATTGAATTTATTGATTTACTGTATCGAATTTATATTATTACTTGTCTATTTTATTACTTATGAAGCACTTTTCTCAATTCGGTCCTGGATTTAACATGATGGGTGCTCACGTGATCTAGAAAAGGAGATCAAAGATGCCGACACGAAGTGTACCTACTGATTATATTGTGTTAAAGCCGTGCAGACCAAACAAAGGCAAATAAATATGAATGAACAACTTACTTCAATGAGTGTCGCTATTCGCACTCATTGAAGAAAGTTGTATATTCGTGTTTGTGTCGTGTCATGTTTGTTTGCTTGGTTTGGATTCAGAAAAATGTATACATATATATGCTGTATATCGGGTACTAAAGAACACTCTGTAGATATACAAAAGATTAAGATTGTAAGCGATATAAATTTCAATTACGATCGTTTAGTTTGAAATGACTCGATGAGTAAAAGAAGGGGAGAAAATTAGCAAGTTAAGTACGTTGTATTGGGCGCGGAATTCTTGCTCCATCCTGCTGAGACGACGCAGTTCCCATGAAAGCTCGAAGGCCGTTAAAAGTGGGTCTCTCGATGAAAGCGCGATTAGAGATGACGATGTGAGCGCTCGGTACGCGTTTATTCGCGACTGCGAGTGTCGAAGGGAATCTTGTTCGCTGGAAGTGACGCATTCGTCGCAACCGCACCTACAATAAAATGATAGTGCTGTTTATTTATAAACAGCTCGTGTAATTTATTCTATATTCACAGGAGTGAATATAGAAAGACTTAATTAATATAAAAAACGTACCGAAAAATTTCAAGTTATTAGATACTTATTTTACTTTAATTTAAAATGTAAAAATAATAAAACAATAAATTGAATAAAATAACAAATTGATTGTTATCATTACAAAATACATTTTAAACTTTGTATATACCTAGCATCGTGAGGTGTGGGAAGAGTCGCGCCACGATGTAAAAGCAGTTTCAGTATTTCATAATTATTTTTGTGAGCTGCTATAATCAATGGAGTTATATCAGATGTAAAGTTTGAAGACGAATCGGCGGCTTCCCAACTCTGAAATAAAACGTGAAAGTACTCTTTAAATTCTCTGGAGTGACTTTTCACTCTTTTAGAGTGAGATTCACTCTAAATAATTTAGAGAGTATCATTACTATTTTTATATTTAATAATTAACCCATTAATTTCTTTCCTTACAATATTAAATGCTTAGAACGTAATATATGTTCTAAGATTAAATGAGACTTGTACAGTACGGATTACGCCAAATATAACAACACATTTCGGACTTATAATAAAAATTATTCTATACCGCCAGACGAATCGCCAACAAAATTATATCTACATGCTTACAAAAACCATATTTTTCTACAATATTATATTGTTCGTTTTTTTATTATGTTACAAACTTATGTAAAAAGATATACTTTTGTGAAAATTTTAAATTGAAAGGAATTAAGGGGTTACACCACCCTGGAGGCCGAAAATGATAATCTAAGTTTGGGATTTTTTTCTGGGAAAACATAACTTTATTAAAAATTACTTTAAGGACATTGTTGTACATATATAATAAAGTAAAAAAGATATTTTTTATTTTTTTAATGTTCAAAATGGTGGCATACTGGCTAATTTGCCGAATACCTTTTTTCTTTTGAAATCGGTGTACAAG